TTTATCTTTTAGGCAAAGCATGCAAACATATTTATTGCCTAAACCTTATTGAACTAAGTTACAATAATTAATTAATTTATGTTGAACTGACAGCACTAGGTGTCGAATTTTGGACAGAAAAAGTCCTTAAGGTATTTTCTCCATATTGAAGTCAGTGTTTTCGATTAACTGGTGTACGGCATGTCAGTACCAGCAAATTTGAAGCTTTCTATCTCTCCACCACATGGCTGAGTTCCCGAAAAAATGCGACACACCTTGGTTCCTAAAAGTCTTGAAAGAAAGAATTAAGACAAGACTTTTCACATCGTCTATGCATCACTATGCATTAACGGCCGCTCTAACTTTGCGTCATTTCCTTATGAATCAAATCCATGAATGGAAGATAGAAAATGTTAGAGTAACTCCATGGTGATGCAATGTTAAGATGTTATGCGAAGATTGCTAACTCTAACAATATTGTCAATGTCCGCAAACGTTCTAATAGCTTTTTTAAGCACTCAATAGCAGTCTTTTTACTCTTTGACCCCTTTGTTTCCGTTTTGTTTAAAATATGAAATTCTCGGCTTGAGGTAATGAAGAAGAAGAATGAAGAACTACTTAAAATACAGTTATCAATAGGACTACTATTACTATGCAACTTCATTACATTAAGGAGATCAAATTTTTTTCAATTCTTACATTCATTATCTGCATGTACTACTACGGCTCAACCGAAGCAAGTCTAGCATATCGCAAAGCTTCTATTCTACTCAGTTGTAGGACCTCAAAGAAAAGTAGGAAAGGACGCAAATTGATTAGCTAGTGGTTTCGATAAAAGATCGAATCAATGCACAGACTTTGACCGAATTTTTGAGCGGGAAGTTGTACGGCAAGAATAATCTGCCGCATTTCTTGTCTCCATTTACCCTCTTCTAACCAACTTTTATATCACGCTTCGTCAATATACTTAGTTCTTAAATTCTTTCTTTCAAATTGCTGCGATAACTATCAGGAGAAAGATGTGCCACCCCTTTGTTTGCCGTTTAAACTCTATGCTAATGTACGAAACATTCATATACCGTACGTTTTTGTTCTTATGAAAACATGTTTTTCAAATTGTAAGGTGAAAAGTCTTATCATATATTATTCTT